GTATAAATATTTTTTGTATATATAATTTATATAATTTTGATTTTTATTATTTCATACAGTTTTCTTCGTTACAATAATTTCGAAAATTTTAATTATAAATTATACTCACACATCGGCATTCTCACACATTCGCATGAATTTTTTAATTCATTTCCTAATGTTTCTTAATGTTTATTGCAGGCTAGTCGTTTATCTTATTCATTCGTGCAAAATTTATTTTCCCTCCCCTCGGTGTACATAAATCTTGCTATTATTTATGAGAATTTCTCCCTTCCTTTGTTCCGTTCCATGAAAATTTTAACCCTTATATAACGCAGCAAGTTGCACTTTTTACGGCTGCAAGGTTCAATCTTCTTAAAAGACTCCGTGATAAATAACCTTCTTTCCCAAATGCTGAACGTTGTCGTGATCATTGCATAGAAAAAGAATACACTACACGATTTAAACCTTCTTCTTTCAATCGTTAAGTGATATATTTGGAAATAATTATTATTTAAATTTATATCAACAATTAAAATATTCACGTCGAGTAAATATCGAATGCCTCGACCAAAAACTCGCGCAAATTCCGATCAAGCAATTAAAATAACACAAACGTCGCGAATTCGAACAAGCGCGCTCGAAATAAGAATAAGCTCGATGCGATTCGAACGAACTCGATAGCGATGGAATCGAACTGGCCGCGAATTCGAACAAGCACGTTCGATGCGTCGATTCAATTACGGTTCGAACGAACTCGGTAGCGATGGAATCGAGCTGACCGCGAATTCGAACAAGCGAGCCCGAAATTTGGCTCAATATGGTTCGAATGAACCCGGTAGCGATGGAATCGAGTTGGCCGCGAATTCAAACAAGCATGCCCGAAATATCGGCTCGATGCGATTCGAATGAACTCGATAGCGATGGAATCGAGCGGGTGCAGCGGGGAGAGGAAGTTTGATACTTTAAAACGTATCCGCAGGTTTGAAGAGAGTTTGAACGACGAACTCGTACGTGTCGCGAAACCTTAAAACACGGAATGCGAGCAACAATCGCGAGTGGCGGATGGCAGGTCTCGAAACTCGCTTCGAATTCCCCTACTTTATGGCTCTATAATTTTGCGCCGTACTTCAGCCCGGCCTTGTGCAACCCTCGTGTCTCGAACGGGCACGTATAAAATAAGATATTGCGGACAGAGGGATAAGGGTTGAATGCGGAAGATTTACGAAGATACAAGGATTTAGGAAGAGAATTTTCTTTCTCTTCTCTTCTCTCCCGTTGCTTAATATCGCATCTACGAGTGTTCTACATTTGGATTATTAGTGGCATTTTTATTCCGTAATGAAAATGGCATGTAAGAGTTTCCACGATGAATTTGCGAATTGGCGAATCACGAAGTAATGAATTGTAAAATTATATACAGTTACAGTATAAATTTTTATTAGCAATCTTCAAAATTTTTCTTGAAATTTTTTGTTTTCAATTGACACATTACTTTATATGATATTGAAATTATGTGATAGAAGAAATTTAATATCGGTTGATTCGACATCAAACTTCATTCGTTACCTTAAATTATTTTGTAAAGTATCAATGTACTCGACTCGTTCCATTTCTCTTGCCTTGAATAGTTGCAGTAACCTATATATCAACATCGAAAAAAAAGGGGCAAGAATACGCTTTCTTGCGGGCAGAGGAAGAGAGCCAAGACTGTCTTCGAGACTTAGACAGTGAATGGAGTGATCAAAAGACGACGCTGCAATTTATCCTGCTTGTCACTTCGTCGTAGCGCCAAGAGAGAGAGAGAGAGAGTAGCGTGCTGATTATAAGATACAGGCGAACATCTAGGTATTCATGAAAGCCCCACAGATCCGCCTAGAGATTACCCAAGACTTTTATCGATTTAAGGTCTTTCTCGTTTGTTCGAAAGTAATTTTTACAAAGATATATTCTACCTTTTGATGAAATAGATCATTTTTTTTCTATTTCATACCGTCTCCTCTTTTTTAAATAATGTATAAATATCTGAGCCAACAATTTTTCTCTCCAATTAAATTTCACCTTTAAGCTTAAGAAAGAATTAAATTGCTCGTATCTTGCAAAAATAAGATAAGCAATCAACATCAACTTTTGGCTAATATAAAACAAAACTGTATAAACTTTTACAATCGTTAAAATTATTATTCCATGGAAATTGTGTTTGGAAAATACTTTGGAGGAAAGCTTCGTCTCTTCGACTCGAATCTTTAAAGTATCTCTCTCTCTATATATTCCACCGCATCAAAACATCATCCCAAGATCCAAGATCTCTAAATTTACCAACTAGAAAGCTTCCCAGCCGAACGCATTCCTTGAAGAGGGACGAAAAAAGGAGCAAAGTATACCCCCCTCGGTATCTGATATTCAAATAAATGCACCGAGCCATCAGAACTGGTATGAACGCTCCACGAAATTTTCCCCCTTCGAGTCTTCGACAATCGATCCTCGAACCAATAAAGAAATGGACGAAGGTTAAGTGCGCATTAAAAAGAAAGAAAAGGAAAAGAACGTTCGATCGAGAATCGAATTCACTTCAATCCTTCTAGTTAATTAACAAAAATCTTACCACGATCCTAAAGAATTCTTCTCGAGGAAAAGGAGCAGCCAACATCGAAGGGAATCTGGGGCCAGAGGATAATCAGAAAGGCGGAATATTAGTCTTTTAAAGAATAAACCGGTCGAAAGCCTCGTGTTAGGCAGGCGCAATCTGCAAATATTGCGCCTGTTCCTTTACCTTCTGTTAAAATTCTCGGATTAATAAACGAAACGAGATCCAAGATGAAGTCTTTCTCTCTCTCTCTCTCTCTCTGCCTCTTTCTTTCCTTTCCTCCATCCGATTTCCTTTAGATTCGAACCTACTTGGAAACGGTGGTTCCGTAACTGGAGCACAATTGAAACTGCTTGGAGGAAAAGAGAAAAGAAAGAAGAAGAAGAAAATGAGAAGGAAATAAGAGACTTTCTTCCCCCCTCCCTATCCTCCCCTCCCTCGTCGAGATTGCGAAGATTATCGCGAGACACGAGATTTAATTTGTTCGTTTAATCGTCGAGCGGCTCGATTCGTCGATTTATTTAGATTTTCCCGCGAACAAGATTCCGTTATTGAATTTTTCCTCCACGATGAAATAGCGCGCGCGTGGTATATGGAAATACAAGGGTTGGCTGGGCGCTCTGGAAAATTCAAATCTTATTCAAATGCGGATGACCCGACGTTTAACCGCGAAATTTCGCGATGATCGTATGGAAATACAGACGTTTGCGCGCGCACACCCACCCCCTCCATCCATCCCCAAAGTTTGCCTTCCGATGGATGGTCGACACGTCGTATATCGATATTATTTCAACGTTTTCATCGATGGATCTTGCCGTGTCGAGTACGTTTTGTTTGAGGATGGTGATAAAATCGATGGTGGTGGGATTATATTTGAAGGATAAATACAGGATTCCTCGCGTTATTTTTATATTACACGGATGAAAAGTTAATTATTTTGATTCGAGGAAAAATATAATCTTTCGTTTAATTTTGAATTTGAAGATTTGAATTAACGGTAGTCGAGCGAAGAAATGTATATCCTCTCTGCATAAAATAAATTAAATCAATTTGATTCGAGCTACAGGGAGAAGAGGGTAGATATCGAATTAAAATTTCTCCACTTCGATTAGAAATTTGCGTGTTCGTGGAATTAAAGGAGATTCGTCTTGAACGCGATTCCATTACATTAAAAATCCCATCTCGAATAATTAAACTTGTGTGTAAAAAGTGTTGTGCACGCGAGTTGTTAAATCAGTTTTTAAAGATATGAAAAATAATATAGAATATATAGGTACGTAATTCCGAATTATTGAATCCCGAACAAATATAAAATTAATATTGTTCCACGCGAATTTTAATAAGAAAATATATATATATATATTGGTCAGGCGGTCAAATATTTGATCTCACGAATATCGAGAAATATTTCATCAAAGTTTATTCCTCCTTGTTGATACGGAAAAGAAAAAGAAAAAGAATAATACATAAAGAATCGTTCCAAGAATCTAATTAATAAATCGAATTTACGAATAACACTCGCGCTTTGAGCAACGATTCCAAAGCATTCTCTCGCAAATAGGGCTTTCACATGCCGTAACACGATCCTGTAAGTAACCTAATTTAGGGGTGCATTAAGCTCGGTACGCCTGAAGTCAAATTCGATGCTTTGCCGACATCGTCACAGCGAAACTATCCAACCAACCGGTTGTTCCAGTTTCGAAAAGAACCACTATCCTGGAATTTAGAACGTTGAAACCATAACTCGAAACAAGGTTTCCGATTTCACCTCCGGAGGAACGAAAGAACCATCACCATCTCCTCCTCAGAGGAGGAGGAGAAGGGGTTGGATTAATCGAGCGATTTCTGGGGCCGGTGTCGGAGACCCCCAGCGTCGTACAGCTATCTGGCTCAGGCAACGATGCGATCAATGATGAAGTAGGCAATTGACAGCTGTCACTGGAATTCCGCTATTTCTCTTGATAACGCCAACAATAGCCAATAGAAATCACAATGCGCCGCGACGATTCCTTGTCGAGCCGGGATCACATAATAGTCACTGTCATAAAAGACTATCGTGACCCCCTGTGGGAAACAATGGGCCCTCCCCCAGGTGTTAACCGTGACGTTGAACGAGCCCTTGGTGCTCCAAAGGTGTTATCTTATCGAAAGATCTGTATTAATTCTTTTGAATTTGGAAAGGATTCTTTTTTTTTTTTTTCTTCAAACTCTGATATAATACGAATTTCGCTTAATGCGACGTGAAAGATTAAGGGAAGTTCGAATCATCGTTTTGCTGGTTTCGAATTTGAATTACGAAATACGAAAAGCTTTGATTGGGATATTGGTGGAATTAATTATTAAAATTTAACTGACTGAATGAAAGTCTGATTTAAAAACTTTTGATAAAAGGAAGGAAGAGAGATTTAATTTTCCCAACTCACGTTTTTTTCAGGCACTTTCGCTCGAGATCAAAAGCTGGCGGGAGGAAATGTGTTTGGCAATCACAATTTCACCAACGGACCAACGTTCGAAATGAACGTTCCACGAAATGTGACCACAGCAGTTGGCCAGACTGCTTTCCTTCATTGCAGAGTTCATCAACTGGGTGACAAAGAGGTAAGAGGATTTTACCTGTTACTTCCTCTCTGGTGTACCATTCATCCAGGAAGGGGGAGGGGGAATAACGAGGAAAAATGATCTAGCATTTCATTGCTGTTTAATTCCTCCGATGCAACACGTTTCGAGTGTTAACAATAATTCCTTTTGCGATATAAAATATATACCATTTACATTTGAAACAACTAGAATTAAAATATACATATATTTTGGAATTTTGATTTTTTTCGAATTTCCATTTCAACTTGTTCGTTTATCCATTCGATCTTTTATAATTTTTAATCTTACGAGTAAAAATTAGAAAAATCGAATTAAAATTTACCAAATATATAAAGAATTCGAAGGAAGAATAATATCGATTAATTACAGAATTGTTCAATTTTCAAACTGAAAGAAGAAAGACAAAAAGAAAAATAATTGTTCGCAAATTTTCGTTAACCTCGCTCTCCTTTATCTTCCTCTTCTTTCTTCGATATAATTCTTGACAAAAGCGAGAGAGAGAAGATAAGAAGGAAAGAAAAGTCACGTCCGCAACTTGATCACGGGATCAAAGGCGATACCAGTGGCTGGCCCAGTTGCGGTCACGGCCACTGGCTCGTTTTTCAAAATCTTCGATCCAAAGCCGTGGATCGATATGGATCCGACAGACTTGGGGAATAACATTACCACGAGGTTGCCGTGCGGTTTTCCGCTCGTCGATAGAATATGCATGGGGCGCGCTCTAAGAAGGGAAATGGCCTCGAAGAGCGACGAGCACGTGTGCGCTCATTAAATTTTTCATTTTATATCGCGAAAAATTGCGGATACGTATATCCGGCGGGAAAAACGTGTACGGAAAGAGTAACAGGTGGAACAGCCGTTTAAACAGCGTATATCGATCCCTCAACTTTATCGCTATCGATAAACAACGTTATGTTCGATGAAACTGTATCGATGATCGATAGAAATATAGGCTTGGGAGTTAATTATTTGTAAACAATACGAAAATCGTGTAATAATTTTTCATTTCGATCCAAGCAAGGATAGAAAGATTGTTATTTAATAAAATTGTTGATAATTTTACACGATAAAAGAAATATTTTGTATACAATAATTAATATGTTGATTCAAGAAGTACGTGTTTCAAAAAATTTATGTATTCGTTATATGATCGTATCATTGAAAGGATCGATATGTCGTATGAACTTATAAATAAATTACGTTAATCTTTATTTTATAAAATAATGTATATTTATTTTCACATTCTCTCACATCGAAGAGAAATTTTAAACCGACGAACAAGAAGATAAAAATTACCATACGCGATTTAAAATCTCGACGATTAATTAGGAAATGCGAAAACCGTGATGATTTAAATTTGCCGCGTGTATGTTTAAAGGGAAATAAAATCGTACAACGCGTGTAATCATTAATTACATCACGTGGCGAAGAAAAATCGCATTAATGAGATTCTAAAATGAATTCGCAAAGAAAGAAAGCAATTACAAGTTAATAGAAAAAGAGGAAAAATTATTTCTACGCGAGAAATAAAAAAATCATCTTCCCTTCCTTCAACTTCCTTTCTCTTATTAGAAAAATTTTCCTAAATTTCTCGACAATGGCTCGCACATCCGATTAAGCATTAAATCACACGTATAAACAAGGAATTTGACGAATATGTAACGGGCAAAATCTACGACAAACGTCACAGTTTTGTAAATACTGTAAATTGTTCGATATCGAGAGCTCGACAAACGCTTGCTACGATAATAGCAATCGTACATATTTATATACTAATCGACTTTCCGTTGATACGAATTAACGACACAAACTAGACACTAATTCATTTGGAATGTGGATGACGTTGTTGCAGAGCTTTCGATAATCGGATTGTCACAAATTTTATCGTCCCTCATCAGATGTGCATATTAGAATAGGAAAGGCTACTTCAACACGATTTTCATATATTCATCCTTGCACCACAAATGAAAATATTCGCCATTTCCTTACTCGTATAAGCAGTTGTAAGACGCAAGAAATATAATATTTCTTTTGATTCAGAAATATATATAAGTTCAATTTTTATAAATTACGTTAAGAGTAATTAACAATCGAACGATTCTCTTCAAATTCTCTGATAATTGTTACAATTTCATTTCGTAAAAATCAGAGATCGTCTCTTTAAGAAAAATGCTTCCACCGCAAGTAGTGCAAGTCGATAATTGGATCAATCTTGATCTTCAATTCGCCATTTTCTTACTCGCACAAGGTTGCATACAGTTGTAAGAGGTAAGAAATATAGAACACGTGAATATTTATGATAAATATAAATTCAATTTTTATAAATTACGTTGTGAGTAATTAACAATCGAACGATTCTCTATCGAATTTTGATGATTGTTCGATGTTTCGATTTCACTTTGTACAAATCAAAGATCGTCCGTTTAAGAAAAAACTTGCTTGTTCCACCGCAAGTAGTGCAAGTCGATAACAAGATCAGGCAGCTTGATCCTGGACTCGCGCAACGATACGAGTTCACACGAATGAAAATCACGAAGAATCAGAAATTCAAGGGAAATTTGATAAATGCGCAACGTTTCATAAATGTCTATCGTAGGTTTAATAAGAGAAGAATGCCGAGTTAAGTCTCTTCCTTCTCCCCGTCAAACGATGTAAAAATTAAGGAAACGCAATTATGGGCTGTAAGCACGTTATAAAGAAGGATATAACGTCGTTACGCCACGGCAAGAGTCGCTCCACGGATATTTCCTAATTTAATTCCTCCACTCGCTCGTCGGAGGAATGGTACTCTGGATGCTGTTGAAAAATGCAACTTAACCACGGATGCGCAAAGAAAATGGCACATGGCTAGGAGGTCACACGTGATGCGTGGTGAAATCTGAACCGTCTATCCCCTTCTTCTTTTTTCTTTTTTTTTTTCTCTCTCCTTTCCACGCTTTCAACGTCGAAAAAATTCGAGTTTCGGGTTTTCAGGCCGTGGCGCCGACCAGAATATCGTTTCATCCCTTCTAATTAGGTCACAGCTTGTCGGTGGATGCCCCTTTCCTTTTAAAGCCATTGATGTTCGCCGAATGAGGCAATTAGAAGACCCTTGGAATAGGCCGGAAAGGCCGAAGGAATAAAGCCAATCGATTTTATCTTTTGATATATAAAACACGAATCATTACAGAAAGAATTAATCCCATTCGATTGGCAGAAAATATATTTTCTGCCTGTCGGATAATGGATTTATATTCGTGTCCATTCTTCGTGCGATGTTTTCTTTTCCTTTTTTTTTTTTTTTAAGTTTTATCGTTACGCGAGAACCATTACACTGAAAGTTATATCGAGTATTAATAGAGTTCGGTGTTATTTCATTTTATATATAATGTAGGTTAAAGTGTTGAGAGTTATGGAATTGAAATATTGATTACGGCATAATTTACATTCGGGTCAGCAACAGCAAATAATAAACTTTTTCAGCTAAATTTATGTAATAGAGCTGTGCAAAAGTTGGTTTTAATTTGTTCAATATTAAACGTCCTTCTGTTAACGTTCGCAAATTAATTAAGGAAACGAATGAGATAGATGTAAACGCAATGAAATGGAATTCGGACAATAAAGATAATTATGATAATGATTTTTGTCATTATATTTTTGCATCAACGAGACAATTATTACGAGAGTGATGATAATAAATATGTATTACAAAGAAATTACTCTTATCAATCTGAAAAGGAAATCCATCAAGAATCAAGTAAGCTCTCGATTTATCCAGCATTTTTATCAAAGAGAGATCAGGCTCTTTCATATAAAATTATAATCTATCAAAGAAACCGGGAAATATTCGTTTTAACTTTGTAAAATTCATAGAACCAAGAATTTCATTAATCAATTTACAAAAAAGAAGAAAAAGAAAATTCTCAGAACCAAGGAAGATTATTGTCCAATTTTCCATTAAAAAAATTTCCTTCTTCAAATTTTGATCTCTCTCTCTCTCTCTCTGTCTGAAATTTCACTCGTTCTTCTTGTCTTTTTCAGTCAATACACATTCTTCTTTGAATATTGAATCATTAAATTTATATGAATAGTATTTTTCAAACCGAAAGTATCAATTTAATTGGACCAGGTTAAAGGGTTAAGTAACAGGAATTTTTATTTACCGTATAATGGTCCATTTCGTTCGAAATGGTTACTTGGAACGCTGATTTTTATTATTATTAACCCTTTCGTTGCGACCGTTTCTCAAAGGGAAGATTTTTCATCTTGGAAGAGAAGAAAAATCGTTTTTTTGAGGGGAGAGAGAGAGGTAAGAACACTCCCTTTTCGGAACGAAAACAACATCCATTTTTTAATTTATTATCTTGAAACGTAAATTAACTACCGGTAATTACACTCGGTAGATAGAGAGTGGAATTAATTTTGTTACCCCTTTGTAAATTTTTATGAGAAAACAGTAGAAACGTTTGCAGACTGCTTAATTAAATTTTAGATACATTTTAATGGACTTTTAATAAAGATATATATATATTTGATTTTTTCGTTGCTTTGTATCACGATTTTGAAAAAGAGAGATATCTTTAACGAGTTACTTTTTCTATATCTCTAATTGTCGATTGTGTAATTAAATGGAAAAAGAGATCAGGATGGAAAATAGCAGATAAATTTAAATAATTAATTATCGCTATTCCATTGGGATTTTGTATTTTAGATCTAATTGATATCAAGCTTTAAATTTTGAAAGATAGAGTAGATAAATAGATGATTAAATAGATGATATATCTATAATTATTTTATTTTATCGTTTGATAATGGATAAATGAATATTATTTGAGAAAGACTATCCATATTTCACTCACGTTTTTTACGCAAATTTAAAAGTTAAATACGATATTTGAATAATAATAAACTCACCGATGAACGTTGCCTGATAATTTAAATATCTTCTCGATTCTAAATCACGAAAAAAGCTTTGGTGTCGTTTTGGTGAACACGTGACAAACAACGTGGGATACGGATGG